CCCCAATTTCATTGTTACACATTGAACATCATTAAAGCATCGTGATTAATCACAAAAACAATATGTAATTATATATATGTGTGTTTTCCAATGGTCTTAGGCGACCCTGTGAAAGGGTCGTTCGACCCCCAAAGGGGTCGCGACCCACAGGTTGAGAATCGCTGTGTTAGAGCCACCAAGAAATGTGGGAGCGAGAATGAAAATGAGGTAGTTCTTTTCCGAGGTTTTGAAGAATGTAGTCACGGGCAGACAGGAAAAGGCCTGTTGTTCACACTGAGTAACGACTGCTTCCTCAGGCAACGTGCCCGGCATTCGAACCTTATCGCGGGCTCATCGAGTCTGAGAGCACAGCTAGTGACAGCGAATGGTAAGTGGCTGGAACGACGGACTTGACTAGCTGTCGAGGCGTCATAACCCTGACCCTGACCCTAACCCTGACCCTGACCCTGACCCTAACCCTAACCCTAACCCTAACCCTAACCCTAACCCTAACCCTCTCTGCAAAGGCCGTCTCCTCAAAGCGGGAGCGCGCTGTGTCTGCGGGTTCACGGAGGTTCTGATCTGGTCATGAAAGAGAACAGCTGCCTGTTACGGAGTCATTTTTGGTTTTAAACTAAAAGGTAAAGACATTACTGGCTTGCTCTCCGTGATGGCTTCAAGTTTCACTAAAGAAAGACTGTTCCAACGTAACTTATATGTTTTCCTTTGGGGAAAATAAACTGGAAATGATAGCGTCTTGTGCGTGTTATGGTAAAAAAGACTTTAGGCAGCCCTGGCTGGTGTGGTGCAGTGGATAGAGTGTCGGTCTGTGGACTGAAGGGTCCCGGGTTCGAGTCCAGTCAAGGGCATGTACCTCGGTTACAGGGTCCTCCCCAGCCCGGGCTCTGGTCGGGGCTCATGCAGGAGGCAACCAATTGATGTGTGTCTCTCACATCGATGTTTCTCTCTGTCTTTCCCTCTCCCTTCCACTCTCTCTGAAAATCAATGGGAAAATATCCTCAGGTGAAGATTCAAAAGAAAAAGAAAAGGTTTTATGCTGAAGAGGTTGGGAATGTTAAAGTTAAGCGGTAAGGAAGTGAAAAGAGAACAGAAACAGCGAGCTGCCACTTTTAAAGCATGGCAGGCCGCGGTGTGGGCTGGTCCCCGGGGCCCACCACCTGCTGACCCGCCAGCAATTAGCTGGTTGCTCTGCACTGAACGTCCTCGTGACCCGCCACCCCTCTTGGTCCTTTGCAGCATCCACAGAGCCGGAGCTGCCAGGTGACCACGCTCTGCCAGGTGACCACGCTCCGGGCGGGGCTGGGGCTGGGACGTCTGGGGTCCCTGCTCATTCCTCCTGCCTCCTGACACCGTCGCAGCCACAGAACACTGTCGTGAGGAGGAGGTGGCTGCGGCTGGAATGCACATCCTCGGTCTCAGCAGCTTCCAGCTTCACTGCACCTGAGGAACGCACAGGCAACCTGGTCTTTTGGAGGAAGAACATGCCGTCTTCAGCGCGAACCCTCCTGACCAGCACCTGCGCCCGGGATGCTGGCGCCCGGACTCTGAGACAGGCAGCAGGTGGATGTATTTCCTTCCCGTTCAAACTGCGCTTTTACTTCAGGAAAAGCTGCACGTCCGGATGGAAAGAGAAACATCTGTTTCCAGACACAGAGCCTCTTCGCTGCCTGTCGTTCCTGAGCCGCCTTCCTCCCGCCGTGGGTTTTATCTCGGGGAGAAGAAATGGTGGCGTATTTAAAAGATCAACGTGGAAGCGTTCCAGTGTCAAATCACAACATGGGTATTTTCAGCGAAAGCTTTCAACGGCACTGAAAGGAAAACCTGGTCCGTGGGCTTTAGAAACAGCACATGAGACTTGGAGAAACCAACGCGTGTCAGGGAGAGGCCGCCGGCAGGCGCGTCGGCACGCAGACCCTCTGCCGCCGTTTCTGACTCGGACGCTTCTGCCCCGGTGGCTCCTCAGAGGTGACGGGTCCACAGGACACGCCTCCTTCCAGACCCGGACAACAGAGGAAACTGGACTCCCGAGTCGGCCCTGCTCCCACGTCTCTGTCTCTGAAAGTCTGTGTTTGTCCCACCCCAGGACCTTGGCACTCGCTCTCCCTCCTGCTCCGGGTGCTCTTTCCTGAGATCAGCACGTGGCCGCCTCGGTTTCGCGTTGAATGGGCTGAATCAGGGCCCCCAGTGATGCCTACGTCCCAACCCCCACAGCCTGTAACTGCTGCCTCAGGGCGTGAGGGACTTTGCAGGTACGACTAAGGGTCTTGAGATGGGAGAGCATCCTGGTGTTTGGGTGGGTCCAGTGTCATCAAAGGGCCCTTCCAGGCGTCGAAAGGAGACAGGAGAGCGAGTGTCAGGTCAGAGAGAGATCCGAGGGTGCCGAACGCTGGCTTTGGGGTCAAGGAAGAGGCTCAGACCAGGGCCTGCAGGTGACCTCTGCCAGCTGGGAGGGCACGCTGGGAGGGCACGCTGGGAGGGCACACTGGGAAGGGCAGGGGGCCCGGCCCTGGGCCGAGACCAGAAACGTTCCGACTTTGAGTAAAGAGGGGGTCACACTCCTGCTGTCCGGCCCGTCTGGCACCTGGGACCAGGAGGGGGACGGTCTGGGGACGCCCTCCCAGGGACGCGGGATCCGGGGGAAACAGCTGGGGTCTGAGCAGAGACCCAGCCGTGTCGGTGTCCCCAGTCCCCTCCCCCGTGGGTGCGCCGCTCCGGGACCTGTGCGCCCAGCTCCTCCGGATCAGACGTCCTCCCCGCCTTGCACCATCCCTGCGGGCAGCTCCGGCTACGCAACAGCCGTCACGGTTGCTTAAGGCCTCTTCCAACTGCCGGGCACTTCGACCTCTTGTTTCCGCCTTTCACAGTCCCTGTGACGGGACCAAGAGTCTCCAAATTTTGCAAACGAGGAGGTAAAGTGGTGGGTTAAGAGGCGGAGCTGAGACTCAGTCCAAACAGGCGGGAACTGAGCCAGCACTGTCTTTTTTAAAAAATACATATATTTTTATGGATTTCAGAGAGGGTGGGAGAGGAAGAGGGAGATAGAAACGTCAATGATGAGAGAGAACCATTGATCGGCTGCCTCCTGCACGCCCCCCACTGTGCCCTGACCAGGAGTCGAACCGTGACCTCCTGGTTCGTAGGTCGACGCTCACCGGCTGAGCCACGCCGGCCGGGCCCGAGCCCTATGCTGATGAAAGAGCTCTATCCCAGTCTCGGAGCCGGAACCTTCCGATGAACAGCTCTATCAGAGGAGAGAATGCTTATGAGTTTACTTGAGCCAAACTGACACAAACGGCTGGGGAGGGAGCCCTCAGACGCTCCCAAGAGTGAAGCTGTGGCTCCATTGAGCTGAGAGAGGTGGTGACCATTGCAGGGGGCAGAGGAAGCGGGTGCTCTCTCCCTCACAGCACATGCAAACACTTCCATCTTCCTCCTGAGAACGAAGGGACAGACCTGCTCTCCCCACACGGCCTCGAGGGCCCCAGCGTCAAGTCTGTGGCTGGCCTTCTTGTCCTCGGACATGAATTCAGGCCTCCATCATCCCTGACGGAGGGCAGCGTCTAGGTCAGGTGCACAGAGCGTGTTCCAGGGGCTGGTGAACTGGTCCCTTCCCTCCGGGTGGCCCATCCCTGCAGACGAGCCGGGTCTCCTCAGGCTGCCAGACCCTGTCCCTGCAATCGGCATTTCCCGGTGCCTGTCTCTCCCCGCCCCCACGCTCAGTCCCACTAGGATCCCCGCAGCCCATGCCGCCTCCACGTGTGACCACCTGCCGATCCTGGGACTGGTGTGCTCAACTTGGCCACGCATGCCACCCTGAACGGATCTTTCCCAGAACGCTGTGGCCAGCGTGTCCCTCGTGGTGGAAGCATGAGGCTGGGACTTGCTTCCGGCCATGAGGACGGTGAGGGCTGGCCTCCGAATGTGCCAGGCCCAGCCCGCAGGTGGAGAAGGGAGACCCGTCAGGACAGGCTGAGGGCCGCGGCGGAGGCAGACCCTCTCGGGAGTGTCCATAACGTGAGCCCGTGGCCTCCTTCCTCTTTTGGGTCTGATTGAGCCAGAGTTTCTGTTACTTCATCGCAAACGTCTTAGGGACACTCTGTGCAATGATGACTCACGCTTTACAGCCTCTCCCACCAGATCGTGAGCTTCTGGGTCCCTGAGGGAAGAGTGGCCAAATGAACGAATACACGAACGAATGCAAAGAAATGAGGAGAGAGCCCGGGGCCAGAGTGTGTGGAGGGCTGTGTAAGGTCATGGCCGTGTGGAGGGCTGTGGAAGGCCATGACCGTGTGGAGGGCTGTGTAAGGAGGCCATGACCCGTGTGGAGGGCTGTGGAAGGAGGCCATGGCCGTGTGGAGGGCTGTGGAAGGTCATGGCCGTGTGGGGGGCTGTGGAAGGTCATGGCCGTGTGGAGGGCTGTGGAAGGCCATGACCCCCATGTGGAGGGCTGTATAAGGCCATGGCTGTGTGGAGGGCTGTGGAAGGCCATGACCCGTGTGGAGGGCTGTGGAAGGCCAGGGCCGTGTGGAGGGCTGTGGAAGGCCAGGGCCGTGTGGAGGGCTGTGGAAGGCCAGGGCCGTGTGGAGGGCTGTGGAAGGCCAGGGCCGTGTGGAGGGCTGTGGAAGGCCAGGGCCGTGTGGAGGGCTGTGGAAGGCCAGGGCCGTGTGGAGGGCTGTGGAAGGCCAGGGCCGTGTGGAGGGCTGTGGAAGGCCAGGGCCGTGTGGAGGGCTGTGGAAGGCCAGGGCCGTGTGGAGGGCTGTGGAAGGCCAGGGCCGTGTGGAGGGCTGTGGAAGGCCAGGGCCGTGTGGAGGGCTGTGGAAGGCCAGGGCCGTGTGGAGGGCTGTGGAAGGCCAGGGCCGTGTGGAGGGCTGTGGAAGGCCAGGGCCGTGTGGAGGGCTGTGGAAGGCCAGGGCCGTGTGGAGGGCTGTGGAAGGCCAGGGCCGTGTGGAGGGCTGTGGAAGGCCAGGGCCGTGTGGAGGGCTGTGGAAGGCCAGGGCCGTGTGGAGGGCTGTGGAAGGCCAGGGCCGTGTGGAGGGCTGTGGAAGGCCAGGGCCGTGTGGAGGGCTGTGGAAGGCCAGGGCCGTGTGGAGGGCTGTGGAAGGCCAGGGCCGTGTGGAGGGCTGTGGAAGGCCAGGGCCGTGTGGAGGGCTGTGGAAGGCCAGGGCCGTGTGGAGGGCTGTGGAAGGCCAGGGCCGTGTGGAGGGCTGTGGAAGGCCAGGGCCGTGTGGAGGGCTGTGGAAGGCCAGGGCCGTGTGGAGGGCTGTGGAAGGCCAGGGCCGTGTGGAGGGCTGTGGAAGGCCAGGGCCGTGTGGAGGGCTGTGGAAGGCCAGGGCCGTGTGGAGGGCTGTGGAAGGCCATGGCTGTATGGAGGGCTGTGTAAGGAGGCCATGGCCGTGTGGAGGGCTATGTAAGGAGGCCATGGCCGTGTGGAGGGCTGAGTAAGGCCATGGCCATGTGGAGGGCTGTGGAAGGCCATGGCCGTGTGGAGGGCTGTATAAGGAGGCCATGGCCCCGGGGAGGGCTGTGGAAGGCCTTGGCCGTCTTCACTCGCTCTTCCTGCCTCGCAGACGTCTGCCAGCTCAGGGCTGAGCCGGGGAACCTCCAGGCTGTGTTCATGTGGGAACAGCGCTCTGCTGGGCAAGGAGCTGGCTCCCCAGACCTTTCAAGGTCTCTGCAGAGCAGGGCACGGCCCAGAGAAAACCGTCAGGACCAACCTGCGTCCTTTCACGCAAGAAACACAAGGAACGTTGACGCGTCCGTTCCTGCTTCAGGCTCTCGGCCACGGAGCTCGTGGGCCGTGGACGCCCCGGGGCAGCGGCGGGTGCGGGGAGG